CTCGCTCCATTGTCGTACTTTTTGGGTAATTACCGTGTCTTTCATGTTCCTGGAAACTTTTTCAAACAAGCACAATTCTGGTAATCGAATAATTGAGTATACATAGAGGGTATCTGATTGCGAAAGCCTTGTAACTAAATTTAATTGTATTGTAAATTTTTGTTTTTTTTGTACATCAAAGACCAAAGGTAAAAACTGTACTAGTTTTCCTAATGCACTTTCATTACGCAGTACAGTTTAATGTCCCATTTGCATGATTAATGAAGTTGTAGTGTACATAGCACGTCCTGTTTTCCTGTTGATGGCTTATAAAAGATCTGCAAAATTGGAAGTATTGTACCGAGAAAACTTCGGTGGTGTCTTGTACGAAATTTTGGTAATTTTATTTGAGCTGTGCAGCTTTTGCTGTTTCATTTTTATTTTTTGGCATTTTTTCTTAAGTGGAGGAAAGATATAGTTTGCGTTCGTCTTTAATGTTAAAAATTAAGTGGCTCTTTTGAGAGCAATAAAGGAAGTTTTTGAGTACAAACTCAAAAAACGCGCATCTGTATTATTGCTTTAATTTCTTAATATAAAATATAAATTTTATTTAACATTTGCAGTGGAATCGTAGACAATATGACGCTAGATTCTTGACATAGTGTACGTCACGAAGGCGGAATTACAACTACATAATTTTCCATGAGATATTCAAATATTTGTACTTGGCAAAGTATAAAACCTATAAGAAATGCACTTTACAAGAGGCTTCGCGGTGGTGTTGTCGATTGCTAAATACTTCTGTCGGTACATAAATTTAATATAATATTAATATAAAATCTTTGGCATTCCGTTTCTTTAGTTATTACGATTTTATTGTATTGTTTTAGAATCGATTTGATTTTTTTTTCTTAGTTCACTAGTAATTCTAACAATGTAATTTCAATTATATTGACATCTTTGAATTTCATGAAAAAAAAATTCTTTGTTACTTGCTCAATATACACTCACCGGCAAAAAAATCGAATCATTAGTATTTTTGTAGAAATCTTCAATAAATTCTGGTGTGCGTCACATTTATAAGACAAATTAGTTTATCTACGACAAAGGAGATGAGAAGGTAACGGGACCTTCGCTGAAGTTGCAACAATTACGAGTTTATTAAAAAATGCCAGAAAATCCATTACATTAAACCAACAAAAGACTACTTAACATATCATTAATAACGAGTGTTGCCGCCTCTAGCTTGCATTAGGGTTGCCATACGTCTTCCCATGCCTTCTATGAGGTGTCTAATCTCAGCCTGGGCTAATTGGTCAAATTCTTCAACTAGCGCATTTGCAAGATCTCTTATGTGTTGTATGGCCGGCACACGTGCTCTGATACGTCTACCTAACATGTCCCACACATGCTCAATTGGATTCAGGTCGGGACTGCGTGCTGGTCATTCCATACGTGAAATCCCGAATTCGTCGAGGTAGGTTTGTACAACTCTAGCGATATGTGGTCTAGCATTATCATGCATTAGAATAAAATTATCGCCAATAAAAGGAGCAAAAGGTACGACATGCTCTTGAAGAATATTTGCTACATATCGATCAGCATTCATTGTGCCTCTATCCACCACTACAAGTTTCGTGCGAACCTCGGCAGAAATTCCTGCCCAGACCATCACTGAACCTCCATGAAAACTTAGTCTGGAAACAATATTGCACTGAGCCTACCTTTCGCCTCTTCTTCGCCATACTCTTTGACGGCCGTCAGGAGAACGTAGACAAAAACGCGACTCATCTGTAAAGAGTACTTGGCCCCATTGGGCAAGATCCGAGTTAACGTGTTCTCGAGCAAATGCAAGTCGGGCTACTCTGTGTCGTGGGAGAAGTTCTGGGCCACTTGCAGGTCTATGGACCCTCAATTCAGCTGCAGTTAACCTTTTTCTTACAGTTCTTTCACTTACACTAACTCCTCGTGTTTCTTCAAGTTGATTTCTGGCCTCAACTGCGGTCGTATCTCTATTACGGAACACGGTCAGCGTTAAAAAACGGTCATCCCGAGCCGATGTTTTCTTTGGACGACCCGAATCAGGTCTTCGGCTGTATGATCCAGTCTCATTAAACCGTCGTACAGTTCTGTGAATGCTCACTTGTGATACCCCTAACGTATTGGGAACGTACCGTTAACTTCGACCATCCTGAATAAGAGCAATTGCTCGTGCTGCATCAATGGCCACAATACTCATGTTAATTGACAAAAACACAGTTTTCATCAAATCACAATGACAAACCGTCTGTTAATGCCCTCTAAACGTCACAACTGCAAATCTCATTGTTGGAAAAAACTTATCATCTTCAGATTTGAGGTTCATATCATGTACAAAAAAGAACCAAAAACCTACTGTTAGTATATTTTGTGTGATTTTTTCAAAACTGATATTGACTGTAGCCAAATGTTTAAGAAAGGAACCATTTTCAATACAAACTTTGGGTGATTCGCTTTTTTTGCCGGTGAGTGTATGTTTTGAAATTTTCAGTGAGCTTTTTATTACTGAGAATATTGAAATTGATATGCGACAAAGTTCTAGTTGCACACTAAAAAAATAGAGATTAGTAACAAGTCTGTTTTTACAATTTGTAAACTCGATTGTTGTTTCAAACAAAGCATAGATATCTCGTTCAATTGTGTACGTTGTCTGAAGTAGTTGTTCAAAACTATAGAATAAAGATTTATACCTCAAAGACAGGTTGTTAAAATATTTCTTCCTTTCAACAAATAATTTTAGACTATAATTTACAATTCTACCATTGGTCGTCAATAACAAAATAAAAGAAATTTATTGTATCTTATTGAATATTTCAATACACAATAAAGATCGTTTTTTATAAATATAAAGACGTTAATGCATAAATAATTACATTGTTAAAATCAGCATTGTTTACAGTTATTTAGCCGAGTTTCCCAAATAAAATTTAAAATTAGTAAATTTTATTTTTTATGAGATGATCATAATAAAAAATCTGGACAGACGGTAGACAGACAGATGAAAACGGGGGACCTACTTTTTCGTACTCTAGAGATGATAACATGTTGAGAAAACATGAAAGTAGGTAGTCATCAGATGGACTCGAGTACAATACTTCCTTATCTTATGCTCAACAAGTAAAAACATATTATTTTGCACATTTAAATGGAATATATTTAGCAAAATTTTGAGATGATGTCATCAAACTTTTGATGGAAATAAGTAATCATATGTACATGACTTTTTTAAAATGCGCCTAAAATTTTACTACAAACACTCCAGTAGTTTTCAGTTTCGAAAATTGTCTGCCTAATGAAATTGAATATCGATAGATGGAAGCGGGGGACGTATTTTTTGATATTCTAAGTATGAAATTAAACCCTGTTATTATATTTCCCTTGTTTACGCTCGGAAGGTGAATGCTAAAACAAAAGTTCAAGTAGACTTTGAAACGATAAACAAGAGAAAAATGTAATTCTAAAGAATCCGGACAGACGGCAGACAGACGGACGGACGGACGGACAGACAGACAGAAAGAAACGAGAGACCTATTTCTTCGTACCCTAGGGGTCATGAAAGGTCGAGAAAACGTAAAAGTAGAGTCAGCCGACGGACTGGATTACAATACTTCCTTCGCTTACACTCGGGAAGTAAAAATTTTGATAAAAAAAAAATGGCATCTACATTGATAAATCCTAATCAAATTTTAACAGGAATGAATGCAAAATGAAAGACTGAAATTTATGTACAAACTTCTTTAGAAAATTAATGCCTTTTTAAAATTTGATAACGTTGCTGCGAGTTCTTTTATACAAAATTAATTTTTATACGCTGCAACTTACACTGGACAACATAGTAGACAAAGAATTAAGTTGACACAATTAACGACGTACAATTCACACACCATTCAACGTGTTTGGGCATCGCTATGAAATTTTTATAATGGGGTTAATTGGATGAGTGACTATTTTTATATTTATACTTCATTTATCTTTTTTAGAAGCACCGTAATTAATATCACCTGTTGTGCGAAAGGAAATACCTTGATCTTTGTTCAGTTTTAAAGGTGTATAATTTTACTGACTATTCACACTTAGAACGTATTTCTGCAATTAATATTGATTGTTGTGTTATTTCAGTAATTCACATTTTTCATTTATATTATTATATAATTTTAAAAACTTGTTTTATATGATTTTGTTAGTTTTATGTTTTTTGGGCAGTTAAACTTGCTTTGCTAAATAATTCACAAATGTATTAAAAATTGTAACAAACCATGTGGGCGATAATTATTTGTGAAATTACACAGGTGAATACTCCATGTAGCTTTTGGTAATTATTTATTGAAGCGTGAGCATATTGTATAAATTTTATTTTTTAAGTTAGCAACCCGTGTTGAATAAAATTGCATTTAAAACATTTATTCGACGAACCGTTAATTCACTATCGATGCGTGTGCATTAATTACATCGGATTAACATTGTAAACAAAACTTTTTGAATCATCTATTAGAAACGTTGAAACGTTGGGAATTTATTTGCATTTGGAAATGTACAGCATGAACGGGTCAGCTACAGATATAATCTTCACTAATGAATAGTTTTTTATTTGTTATTTCACACATCAATTATGAACACTAAAAGTGAAAGACCATGTGAGAAGACGATATCATGATCTGATCTGCTAATTATTGGTTAAATTTCCGCTAGTGTCTTGATGGGATCTTTTTTTTTAAGATTCTATGGGTCACGACGTTTATGACCTATCGATTTCTCTTCTGTTTAAATAGTAAAAATAATTATTTGATTTGAATATGATCAAGCCGAAATGTTGTCAAACCATTATTAATGTAAATTCTTTGTCAATTTCCGTTAAGGTGATATCAAGTTTATTTCCGGATTATTTTATTTCCTTCCTTAAATTATTAACTGAGTTGAGGACACTTCAAAGGTTATTTAGAAAACTCACGTACACATTTTCAAAAATAAATTGGTAGTCTTACCTATTAACAACGATAGTACCACTACAGTGCTTTTGGGGATCATTGCGTGTCCTATCCGATCACATTTAACAAAATAAAATTAGACTGCGAAAAAGTGTCAACACCCCCACACATAGATCTTCAATAATATTACCGCGAGGTATCCCAACGACCATATCACTCTCACAATTGCATGTTGACCTGCATCGAGCACCGCCGACGGTTTGTTTAAAGACGAATTGTGTCTTGAAAGTCGCTCCACAAGCAAAATTGCTTCATGAGCCCCCACTGTTTCTAGTGAAAATATCGGGCAATGTCATTGATGACCGAGATGTTCCTCTACCGGTTGCTGAACTGTTACCTTGTGAAGGACGCGATTAAAAAATAATAAGCGATTTTGTGTGTTTGGCAAATTCTCGTGCACGTAACGCTGAAAGATTTAAAGTTTCTTTCTGTCACTGTAATGTGATTGGATAATTTTTCAAAATTAGTTGCAATAGGTTCGATGTTTACATGTTGTAAAATTTTTATCAAATTGGTGCTCTTACACCACCAGACATGTTCTGAAAACGAATTGAGTAACTTTTACATAATTTTGCATTCGGCGGATACGTTCTCTTAAAACCGGGCTTGAATTATTTGCATTTTGTAAATTTTTTCCGGTTTATTGACGGGTTTAATTGGGGCCTAGAGAACGAGGAAAAATACCAGACGTGGAGCCATTTGTTTGGACGACACTTAAACTTTGAATTTCTCTTTTTAAATGTAAATTAGTGCGTTTCATTTTCACGTTTGCCAACCGAAGAAGTTATGGATCAAAAATTTATTTCTCAAATTCTTGTTTATTAGTAGACCGCATTAATTAATAAAAAATGTAAGCTCTTTTATTGGTAAAAATAGAAATCAAAGTGTAGTAACGAACTTGTTGTACAATGCAAGTAATTGTTCCTTCCACAAACAGCATCGTTACGTTTAATGCAACACATTATTAACGTAACTATAAATTAACTCGTGCCGTTGAGCTGTTGCGTTGCAAGACATTCTTTCAGGAGTGCAATTCAGATCCACTTCTAGACGTTGTTCGTAATTCTATGTCTTTTTTCCACTCTATAATGTATAATAATAGAAGTTGAAAGTATTCATGTAGCTGCAAGGCATAAAACGATATACCTTCAGTGAACTCAGTTCTATACAGTTATATTGTAAGTTTTCCTATTTCACGCGGGATTTATTCTGCTTCGAAAATTTCCCAATATTGTGACCTTCTATAAATGAATGAAGTTTTAAATTAAAATGGAACGTGTTGCAAGATCCCTCTAGCGGATTGCAATGAAGAAAAGTTCTTAGCTACCCACTCGTAGCAGGATTAAGTTTTCGAATGTGATTACTGTGAGTAGAACCATATACGTACATGTAATTTACTCAACTATCCGCTATTAAAGCTGCATTGTTCTTCGTGAAATTATTTTGACTGTAGAAATACATGGAAGCGCCGCATGTGCATATGAAACGAAACGGAAATATCGAATCAATTTGTTTGTCAATAACTCCAATCCGAAGTAAATTTGTGTTGCATAATAAATTTAAAAGTGACCAGGCACTGATGAAACGTGCCAAATTGAACAAAACAGTATCTACGGATTGGTTTTACTAGCTCGTGTAGAGAATATGATTATGTTTTGACAATGATGTATTTATAATCTGGTCGCGATATCAATTCGGTCCTAGATTTTCTGTAATTTCCCCGGAGTCGGCAAGTTTAATATCGTACTGGTTTTGCATTAGAAATCAGGATATTGTTCCAATTCATTTGTAATTTCATTACTGATGCGGTTATTTGAATTTATTTCTTTCTATAATTAGGGTTGTACCGATGTGATAATGTAGGTAGGTGTGTAGATTTTCACTGTTTGATTTAGTGCTATTAGTAAAGGTCAAACTTCCCAGTGGAAATTGATTGATTATCTTTGTCAAAATATTGGGTTCATTCTCTATGACAACTTTCTCATATTGTCTATATTTGTCGTAATGAAAAGAGAAAGAACTATAAAGATGTTGAACATCTGCTTCATTGAAGCTGTAATGATTATTTCAATTCAAAGTGTCTTAGAAAATTATTTTCTCTTCTTTGAGATCTTTCGCTACGAATAGATTACTAATTTTTCTTGTTATATACATTACTTAATGGTTTCAATGTTGAATCAAGTAGTGACAGTATGTCAATGACTGCGTTTCGAAAACCCCTCAAGAACTAGAACACTATGCTGGACAAATGTTTAGTTAAAAATAAATCGCACTATTAAAGGGCAAGTTCAGCGAGTCACATTTTTTTTGTGTTTGCATTACTCATTTTGCTTTTATATTTACTTACGAAAATTTAGGTTTGTGAAAGTGATCGGTATGAGAGGGTATGTCAAAAAGCCTAATTTTCAATCGTAAAGATTGCGCAACTGATTTGTTACAAATCCATGGGCGATCAGATGAAACACGATGTAACCTAAGTATGTTACAGATTAACGGTTTCCTGTTGTTATCCAGTTTCTGTGTCTGCCAAACTGGTTGGTGCGCCATCGAATCAACTCCAAATTTAAAATTGAATTGAACATTAAGAATGTCATTAATTGTGGTACAAGTTGATTGCGCCGTTCATCGGAATAGAATAAGCAGGGGTAAACGTAACATTAGAGGAAACGGGATGAAAAAGCAATTTAAACTCGCCAGGTTGCTATGCACATTTCCACGCGCTTGTTGTTGACCGTTAATTACAAAGTACAAATAGATCAAGTTATAAGCGGAATTGAGTTTTCTCATTACCTGGAAATTTTGTTCTGACCGCAGGCATTATGGTTATGAAGGTTGTAATTTACGGGTATCTTATTTAATTAAGTAAGCATTGTTCATCCTACGAATTTTGGCTTAATTCGCAAAAGCTTCCATTAATTACTGAATGAAGATCATGTTTCTTTTAAATATTTTGAGTGGAATACATATGTATAAAACTATTACGTATTTGTATATAACAAACAAACAAATGGCATTGTTTGGAAATATGCGTCGCTGTGACAAATGTCTAAAATTGTTGATTGAAAAGAAATTTTGTTTTTCAATTAAAAATACTATTTGAGAATGAATGGAGTTTCAATGGTATTTCGCTAGTCAAACTAGCTGATTAATAAACACACAGAGGCTTTCTTAGCCTTTCTATGAAGACTGAATTTAATTTTGTCGATTTTTTGTATATAACTACCGATTTATAAAAATTTTAAGAGCACATAATTGTTAAACTAATGGCCACTATCACCGAAGAAAGGAAGGAACCTTTGGTGAAGTATGCGAAGATGGAAACCATTCTAAAGTGGCAGAAACTCAGCTTTTTTCCCACCAAATTTTTAGCTGAAGTTATACTCATTTTGATTTTCGTAATGTACATACTGCTACATTTGTAACTCATTAGTTTTTATTTCAATCTTGTTCTATGGATTGAAAAAAATGCGGTTTGCATTTCTAACATTGTTTTAATGTTCTTCAAAATCTTCGACAGTTTATTTGTACGAATTTTTGCATATATTTATTGTTACTAAAAATATTTTTGAAAAACATGCGTTGCCCTGACCGCTTGTATACATATTTAATAGCACTTATTACTTAATTATTTAGCATTACATATATGACACATTTTCTATTAATCCACTTGCTTTAGAGAACTATTAAAACTGCATTATCAAAGAGCAGCATGCATGACTTCGTACACCTCTTTGATTATAATTAAAATTAAATTTTGCTTCAGGGACAAGCGCCTCGGTTCAGTGGTATCCGTGTATCGTATCCCCTATTCTGTATCTTGCAAAACAAAAATATATCTTACTTTCTGAAGCGTAACGTTGCATACATATTACATTAACTATGTCTTGTTATTGAGTTCCTTTTTAATTAGCTTCAAAAGAAAATAATCATAACCTAATTTTCTTTCACGTAGATTACAAAAATTAAAATACTTATAAAACCTAACAATTTAATCACACATTGATTACTACATTTATCAAAATAATACAAATTCATTATTAACATAAAGTGATAAAATTTAAGTACTTTATAATAAATACTGAAAAAACATTACAAAAATAACCACTATACAGGCACATACGTATATTTTTACAAAAATATATACCTATTATATAAAACATGGATTTCTTAAAATTCAACTGCTTTTAGATTGTTATCAAGCTGACTAGGATGTCACGCTTATTCAAGTTTGATTATGAAATATAATATTTCTAACACTAAAGTTTTACACTTTTACACTTACATACTTAACTATAATACTACTTAGACATACTTATTTATCTTTTAACCAATCAATTTTGGAACAGTGCATAATTATGTTGACAATATTAACTATTTTTTTTATCGTTTTTATTGCATATGTTTGTTTCATTAACCTTTGTATAAAGCAACAATACTTTTACTAATCCCTAATTTACTGTTCCGTTTTTTCTTAAATTAAAAGTAACTATTGAAAACCTACAATTGTACACTTTACCCTTCAAACAAAATTTAATGATTAGAACAAACGATTTTATGAAAATTCAAATGAAATCACAGTTGCGTTCTTTTTTTATAACCTCCAAAAAATTTAAATGATCCCTCTATGGGGACTTTTTTTGTTGTTTTTTTCTTTACTTTTTAATTTATCAATGGCTTCTTAGTCATTCCTCGTCATTAAAAATTTCTTCCAGCAGCTGCTTAGTGATAGTTCGATGAGGTCGAGTCGGATCTAGTTTTGGCCTGCCATATAATCTGCTGTTGATTATGTATAACCTGCAAAAAATGTATTATGCAATTTTATATTCCAAAGTTGACAGCTTTATTTTATTGTTAAAGTGAGTTATAGATTTTTTGTTGATGGCCGCTAAAATCATTAACGATGCATAAATTATATACAACGACAATCGAAAAGTTGCATTAATTCTTCCGCTTCATCTTAATTACCTACAACTTTACACGGTCGTGATTATGATGAAATTTAGTGGCTTTAATTAAGCGACGTTTTTATTGTCGCACACTTACTTTGAACTTAGGTCACATCGAACATTAAACCACCAATCACAAGCGAAGACTAATTGATTAAATTGAGTACCATTGGGACATAAAAACGTCGTTTGACGGCCGTCGATGTCACAATAGTGCCATGTTTGACAGCGCGTTTCTTCGTCGGCATAAAATCCTGGATATTGTTGTTCGTCGCAGTAGAAATTGGTGTAGGGTACTTTTCCCAACACTGGATAATCAGTACCAGGACGCCCTACAAAAATACATGTAAAAATTAAAAGTGGAAGATGCAACCAACAATACGTTTATAAGTTCATTGTTAATTACAATGGGAAAAATACGAAGAAAGTTACAGTAGTGAAAGTGTGTAATTTTCAGCGATTGCTCAGCCATTGTGACCTAACGTGTCAGTCAAAAAAGACTAGAGACGATTTGTAACAGTTTAGTTTTGGTTTTTTTTCCTTATCTGAGAAGATGTTATTACCAGGAATAGATTTTCCCAGTTCGAGGTATTCTAAAACTGAGGGACTCAAAAACCCTGGAGGAACATATTTCGTATCTAGGGCGTTATTTCTTTCGTCGTAATCATTTCCTACGTTGTTGTCGGACTCCTCTGTTGGATCTGAAGCTCTTGGCCTTTTAACTCGGGATTTCTGCTCGTATCCGTCTATAAAAAACATAATAGCATTCAATGAATAATGAATGTTATTGACTTTAGTTGTTAATTTATTCATTTTTTATAAGAAAATGGAAATGTAGAAAATGCAACTCGTTTTATCTGAAGTGAGTGCAAAAAGACATGTGAATGTGAAAGTGGATATCAATCTATCAACTAGTATAAGCACTTTCTTTGAATCAATTCTCTTGACGTATTTATTGAGAAAAATGAGTATTAGTTTTTACGTGAAGATAAATTAGTGCTGTCTAATATATTGAGAAAAATGTTTTAAAAATCAAACATAACGTTTTAGCCGGATGAAGCGAGACGAATTTTGCAAAAATAAGAAAAAGATGTTCCAATCTTTATGGTTTCATGAATTACTGATTATTGTTTTGGTAGCTTGGTTCAAGGTGAGCAAGTTTAATTTATACTTCAATGAGAAAGAAATAAATTGCCATTTTTCTAGCGATACGTAATTTGGATAACATAATAAACCGTGTATTTTCGATTTCCAAAGCTATTATTTATTAATGTCATTCTAGTTGATTTAAATAGTAATGATTATTCATAAACAAAAATATCCAATTTGTTTCATGTTTATTGATGAAATATGCCGCACTGATAAAATAACCATCGTTAATAAAGTAACTGGATGAACTGATTCCGGTTTCCTTCATTTCGAAATTCACATAAAAATAAATTATATCGGTGTTAAAAAAACGCAAAAACCAAAACGAGTTACGATCGATTTCGCGTCTAAACAAGATAATCTAATTGATTTATGGAGAAGGATGCTAATGCAAAATTCTGTTCGATGAAAATTGCGCCAACGCAGTTCTAAAAATTCATTGTCAAAGCATGTTTCACTTAGGATTTGTGATTTCGTCATTGCGTAAAAGGTGCGAACTGAATATTATGAAATGCAAATCAGGTTAAGTCAGAAGAAACAATGCTTACTTAGCTAGGTTCCCCAATTACGTGCTGTGTTAATCTGATTAGTGATGTTTGCTTCATATTTAATTCTCGCAACATTTATTTACAAGATGAATATCGAACGGCGATTTTACTGCTGTACGATATATTTCATACCTTGATTTTGAAATAAAAAAGCTGAATGAAATGTTTGTATGTATGCATTATTATTAGCATTGTAATAATTACCGCGTTGAATTATGAAATGCTTGTGTGTCTAGATTGAATCATTCATGGGCATAGAACTTGGTGACCGTATTATATAGTGGTTTTACACAAAAACCTCAAATGAGTGTGTTGGCTTTTTTCACTGAACTGTAAGGTTGAAACCAACACAATGATTCTTTGCCGCTAACATTGAGTTCGAAATATGGAATAAGGACATCTACAACAATCATGTAAATCTATCGAAACTTACTTTAAAAGTGACCTTGTGCTCAAGTAATAATTACAGCCTATCGTTGTAAATTTAACAGTGACAGCATTTACGAACTTCCCGTTTTTAGGCGTGAAGTTCCCATATAAGCGAGTTATTTATTAAGAAAGTCATCTTCGTGAATGGATTTACAAACCTGCGTATTTTGTTCTTACATATTTAATTTATTCATGTTTATGTTTTTGTCTTATTTTGACGATTTTAATACCCACTTTGTCAGAAGGTGATCTTCACAACATTATATTATTTTTTTCTCTTACGTAACTCTAATATGTTGAAATAAAAACAACAAGTCTTACATATTGTTATAAACTTTCTCGTTGAACGTGGAGACACGGAGACATTTATTTACAATTTTTCGTCCCATTCAAACGTACAATGTAAAAGCACTTACCAGTAATAAGAAAATATCCTAAAATTAATATCACAGTGTGTACAGTGCACGTTAAATAATTCATTTTAGAAAGTTTTGCGCTACTATTATTGTATCGGCATCTCGCGAACGACTGTCGTAGTTTGTAGTCGTCTTCTCTTCTCTTAACAGTCACCTTGCCTCTCCGCGGCATTCTTCACCAGTTCAGACATAATAAATGCAAATTTATTTACAAATAGCGTCACTGATGATACCCAAAGACGATAATTTATTTGATTTTTTTTCGTTTTTGTTTTTAGAAAGTAAAGCAATTGAAGACATTCGACATCTCGGATGTCGAGCAAGATATCAAAAGTTATTTTGCCGAATTGCACGCTAAACTGCATTTAGCAGAGCGTAACATCAGGAAGAGACTCTCGGCAATGGACCCAGAAGTAGCTGATTTAGATGTCATTAATACTACACTGAAGTCAGGGATACATAGAGTCACACAGTTGCTTAACCATTTTAACATGATCAACACCAGACAACTGAACGTGAGAGCCCTTTTCGAGGAGGCTCAAGACGTTAAAGACATTTCGTGCAGACTGGTTTCTGAACAAGAAACGTTGCGGCCTATTGAGTATGTTCGTTTTTTTGAATGTTTTTCTCGTTTACTTATGCTTCGATTGTAGATTTGTAGCGGATGTTTTTGAGGATATCGAAGACGTTGTGTGTTTGAAAAATATTTGTTCCGTAGAGTACAGTTTACTTCCAATCGAAGATTGGAGTAAAGCTCAAGAAAAGTTTGAATTAGAACAAATACGGCGAAAAAGCGACTCACAGAAAACTGAACCCATACCCGAAGGTATAATCTTGTTTTATAAACACTTTTTCAGTTTTAATGCAATATATTTTTCCAGCACCTACCGCGATAGTTAAATCTTTCAAGCATGTCGAAAACCAAGCGAAAAAGTTCAATGAAGGTATGTATAATCATAAAAATATTGTTCGTACTTGTTTACATTAATTTTTTTATAGGTAAAATTCGAGTTGTCGTTACGCATATTAACGACCTCAATAGTTTCTATATACAAAAATACACAACTCTTGATAGTCTCAAAGAAATGAACGGAGCTATAGGGAAGAGAGGTCGGAAGAGAGCAGGCATGGAAGAATTCAAAAAAGGTAAATATTGTTGAACTGAAAGAGTTTTAAATGGATAACGTGTGTTTTTTGCAGGAGGAATCTATGGTGTTTCATATCAAACAAAAAATTCTTGCCATTGGCGACGAGGAAAAGTCATAGACATCTTTAATAATGGAGAGAATATTATCTACAAAGTAAATTTCATTGATTATGGAAATAGTCAAAATGTAACCAAAGATAGGTTAGTTAATTGTTTAAGCACGTTGTAAAATTCTTAACCTTTTTTTTTTAATAGGCTAAAAGAATTAGATTTACATACAGTTAAACGTCCACCTTTTGCGTTCGAATGTAAATTAACAAATCCTGAAGCTAGAGTGTTTGATGACAAAGTTCATTTACTTCTTCCCCAAATTATTGGCCAGTAAGTACTCGCTTTATATAAATTACATTTATTCTTACACATTTATTTTAGAAAAGAATTGTATCTTACTTTCATGCACCCTCAAAGTAGCCGCGTTACGGTATATGAAGTGGAACTGTTGGTTGCTGCTTCAAACGGAGGTTTTATTTCTGTCAGAGATTTATTAAACAATACATCACCGCTGGTACCAGACGCAAAGGTAAGTGTCCTAAAAATGTTTTTTATTACTAGCGAAAAAATTGTGCTACACAGAAATCGTTGAAGCTTTACGAGATGCACAATTAAGAGAAAATAGTTGTCAAAAAATACGACAGCGTGAGATAAGAAAAGTTCTGTGGTGTACTAGTTTAGCAAGTGTGTAATTAGATTTTTCTCGTAGTTTCTCAGCTTAAAATACAAAAATGTTGGCTGTCCATCTGTTCACAATTCAATATATAACACAGATTATCTGTGAAACTACCCAACTGATTACTTTGAAGTTTTAAATGTATTTTAAGCTTATCATCTACATTGTAAAATTATAATGTAAAGTTTCTATGCTTCAAAATAAATTCGATTTGAAAAAAGTTTTGCAGCAGCTCCGTACTGAAGCGATGTACATAAGCATGTAGTTGCAGATATAATTTTTTTGTCAAGTTGATTTACGTGCCAACGTGATTTTAAGTATTAATTAGAAAGAAAGTCTGAAACCGTATTTTGACAAATTTTGTTAACTTAATGTAAATCTTAAAAAACAAAAGTTTTATTCGTTTCCGATTAAACTAGAATTGCAAAAATTCTTTTTATGATGGTCGGAAAAAATAATTTCATTTTATCCGGTTTCAGAACAGATAATGATATAAAAAATTTTGACGAATGTAAACGGGACCGCTACATCTATTAAGAAGATATGATGATAAAAGTGCGTATCCGTTAAACCAAATTTGAAAGAGAACTTTTACTTCGGCACAAATTATTATATAAAAGAAAAAAATAATTGTTTAGAACTCTCTTTTTGTATTTTCTCCAAGAAACAAAAAACAGAACAGTTTGATTTAATTTTTTTTTTTTTCATTGTTAGGATTCGCTTCTACTGACTGAACTAAAATTGTTCAAAAACGGTAAAAGATTCACAGTGGGACAAGAAGAAACCGTTGTGGTTACATACGTGAGAGATCCATTTTATATATGCGTACAACTGGTAAGCTTATATTGGATAAAAAGTAATGACTGACTAACATAATATTGTTCAATTGTAGTCACACAATGTTAAAATTCTGCAAAAAATGCAAGCTGACTTGGAAAAGTTTTATAAAGACACGCCCGTTATTTCTTGTATCCCCGTAGTTGACAGTGATGTGATAGTCAAATACAGCGACGAATTTCAAGGGAATTGGCATCGGGCGAAGATCATATCTGTCGACGTTGCGTCTAAAAAAGTTGGCGTATTTTTTGTAGATTGGGGTCAAAGTACTGTGGTATCGTGGTCTAATCTCAGATTATTGACAGAGAACTTTATCAAAGTGGAATGTCAGGTAACTTTCTTGTTGGTTGGCCTAAACAAAATCTTATTTTTACTTTATTTTAGGGCATCATTGTTAAACTTAGCGATATTGAAAGACTAGATACATCACAAAATTGGACTGAGGAGGCTACAGATTTTCTCCGCGAACAACTGAACAAAAATAAGGAATGCCGAATGGTTGCTAGTGGTGTGGAACCACTTCAGGTGGCTCTGTTTCAGTTGTGTCCGTTGTCAGATATTTGCTTGAATTCGCTGTTAGTGGAATCCGAGCATGCCATTTCGACCGGCACAATGTAAGTATTCACTAATACAATTTTAATGTAATATTCGGAACATTTTGTATTCTATATCTGAGTTGTGTTATTTCTTCCAGCTCGCAAACAGTGTTTTGGCCCCACGCGATTCAAGAGCTTCCCCAGGACGATGATGACATGTCATATCAAATGATGAAAAAGTCGGAAGAGGTTATCATGGACGGATACGAAGATATTCATTTAATGACAGGATTAAAACTACAGGTTTACGTGATTCGTTTTGATAGTCCCGATCTCATTTACATAAAATTTGCCAAATATAAGGAAACCGAAGACGAAATGCACAAAGAAATGCAAATACACTATTCAAAAAGCAAACTCAAAACAAGAAGTTCTTGGAAGCAGGGAGAGCACTGTATCGTATTCGATGAAGATCACAGTGATTATTTCAGAGCTGTGATTAAATCCGCATCTGATAGTAACAACTACGTAGTTTACCTCTACGACCACGTCAGGGAATTAAAAGTCAGTAAAAAAATAATCTTCGAACTGGATCCGTATTTTCGCAGTTACCCATGTTATATTTGTAAATGCCGTTTGACTAACATCAGACCGGCTGGAGATCCAGGAAAATGGAGCCATACAGCTATAGAAATGCTAGAAAAGATCTTTAATACGTACACCACATTTCATGTTAAGAAAATCGAGAAGAATACTAATGACAAAATGATAGGTGTGATTATGTGGTACAGTGTAACGACTCCAGCGAAAGCTCTTCAGCCTGCAAAGATTAAATACGTTTCCATAAATCAGTCCTTGCTTGAAAGTGGACTTGCTTTTAGTGCATCTAGTCTAACAAATGGACCGTCTGCAGGTACTGAACCTAATAATTGTGATGATAGTGATATTGAGAAAAATAAGAAACAGAACTGGTATGACATAATCTGTGAAGATGAGCGGTATAAAGACGCTGACAAACCGGATATGCATGACATGTCTCAAGTAAAAGAAGAAATTTGTATAATTACGCAACAGAGTTGGCCAAAACCTTTTAAATTTAAAAGCAAAGAGTTCGATGCTACTTTGACATGTGTTGTTGATCAAGGAATCTTCTTAATACGTACTGAAGATGTCCAAAATCTATACTTGGACGTAGAAACTGAGATGAATGATGCATTCGAATCTGCGACGTTATTATCTAATGCAAATAGTACTTGGAAAGTCGGCGATATGTGTACAATCGCGTACGATGGTAAATGGTACAGAGGATCAGTATTAGAACTGTTAGAGGATGATACAGTTAGTGTAGAGATGGTAGATTTTGGTAGCGAACACGTAGTTCCTATAAAAAGTTTATACAAAAATATAATGTTTCCCGATATTCCAACTTTGGTTAATAAAATACAGTTATACGACGTACATTCCAGTTACGGTCATTGGAGAGGCGAAGACGTAGACAAAGTGTTGAGGATTGTTACAGATCAGGTGCGAGTTGAAATTAAGGGTGATAAGGACGTTGAAGTGCCGTTGGCGGAAATCTACTTAGACAATGGCTTAAGCTTGAATGACATGATAACACAAGTTTGTCCACATATGAAACGTCGAGAGTGCAGTGTTGTTCTGGGCAGCGTTGACGATTTGGACGTTAGCGTCGACGACATGAGCAAGGATGCCACAAGTGAGAAAACAAGTGCCAAGTTAAATGGTGGATATACCTACGTTTGGGTGCCGTCGTCGTTTGATGAAAAGCAAAAAATGTTTGTTGCTGGAATTTTAAAATGGGATCTCACTTACAACGTGGTTTTAAGTAGTGCAGAAGATAACACAAAAACACCAGAATTCATTCGATTATGTGAAACGGTTCAGATGCATGTTGGAAATCAAGCGAATTTATCAAAAATTGAAATAGATACTGCGTGTATTTGTCTTCACCCCCAGAAAAATACGTGGTGTAGAGCTATGGTTTATGACGTTGATAGTTTGAAATTTGGATTTGTGTTGGCATTCTTTGTTGATTATGGTATGGTAGAAATGGTTCCTATCTCTAGTTTAAAAGAAATTCGATCTGATTGGTTAGAATTTCCTGTTCATATGCAAATTGCTGCTATAAATGTTCAATTATTGCAAAACAACCAAGCAGAATACATGTTAGCGCAATTAAATAATTTACATGGTAAATCTGTTTTAGTAGAAGTAGTGACAGAAGTACCGTTAAAAGTTCATTTGTATGATGACAAAGCTTTGTGTTATCAAAAATTCCTTGATAATGGTATTATGAAAGCATTGTAGGTTAAAAATGATTTTCCGTGTACAGAATTTTTTCTTTGTCTTCTTTAAGGTTTGAATGTTTTTTTACTTTTATTTGTATTTATAATAATATATTCTTTTTTGTCATTTGTTTTTTTTTACTAAAATATTTTATAATTTTAAATAATAGAAAAATTGGGCACAAAACATAGGGGTAAGTATGTACAATTTTTTCGTTAATAGTTTTTACCATTTTTACTTCATTTTTGTAACAAAGATACGGATGTTTGAGAACTTTCATAGGCAATGGTTTTGTACATGCTAACAAAACTAAAGTTCTTTGTGTTCTAATTTATAAATTTGGATAGTAAGTATAATAAATGTGTGTAATAACTTAGCAAAACGTTCTCCAAAGCCTCGTGCAACCTGTCCTCAAAGAGAAAAATAATGCATCGGGACTGTAACTTTGAATTATCGGTAAAGTTGTTCAATCTACATTAAACTTTAATAAAACCTATTAAATCGGGTTTTTACAGTCTTAAAAAAAAAACACTAACGTAAATTTAAAAATTATTTGTTGTAATATTGCGTTGAAAAAAGTTTAATTTGATGAATTGCAGAGTGTTCTTGATTCAATTTTGATTAAAAAAAAAACAAAACCTGTTTGCATTTCTGTTGTGATAACCTTCTGCAGAAACTGTAAGCTCTCATTTGGTGCTATTTTGCAATACAGTAAATGACTCACGTATCCAAAAACTTGCAGACTGCCCTTGAACAGCGAGATGAACAATTTTGTCATAAGTCTCCTTTAGATTAAGTTGGGTTTTTGCAGTGTGTTATGAATAATGCCATAACCACGATGGTAGTAACTTTTGAATTGTGAGCGTGGCACCAATAACCCATGACGCATGCAACAATCACAACAACAATAAAGTAGGTCAAAATTGCCATGATAGTGATATGAAACACATTTTGCAAAAAAGTTACCAAATTATACGTACCTATATTTAGGTACCTACAAGTGATATGTATGATTTATGTGTAAGTAACGTCGAAGGTATTAATCGTGTACTGTGTATTTTAAGTAGGTATATACTTTAAAAATTAAGGAAATATGTTGAACTAAATTACAAAGTGTAATTAGGTCAGTTCAGTAGTAAACCATATAGATAAAATTGCTATAATTATTTATTCTAAATAATAGCTTTTACAAGAAAATACGAATAACACTTTCTATGGATTTTCAGTGACTGTCCATGATTTATCTTCCATGCTTACAATTATAGCCTGTTCTATTTTTTCGTGAATCCATGTTAACATTTCTTTATCTCCACTGATTTTTAGTAATATTTCTCTTGTGTTGTTTTCACTCTGTAAAGTAATATACATAATTTTATTGAGAGTTATTAGAATGTTTTTCACGAGCACAACTTTTCTTGGAGCAATTCAAAAATAACAGTTTTAAAATATTTTGGATGATTTAAATTCTTTGTTTGAATGCTTCTGATCACTGATGGTCTTGTTTGACAAAAGTAATTCCGTGTTTTTTGAAATGCAGCGTTGCAAAAAATAATTATTCATTAAACACTTGTAACAGAAAATTTAATGGTAATTTTGTAAAAAAAAACAATACAGTTTACTTGCAAACATTCCAAGGAACACTAATTCACCCACCTGTCTCATATTAAAGACGAGTTCTGTGGACGTAATTTTTGGCATCGATATAATGTCATCTAAATCTATGGCCCACTCAACATCCCAAGGTCCCCAAAGTCTACACTTATTTATTCTAATCACATGCCTAAAATATTTGTAAAAAGTCAGTTCTTCTACTAAAATTATTACATACTGTAACGAGACGAGCAAAATTGATTTCCCAACTCTGTCAATCGCAGCGTGAGACCAGTACGTGTCACTCATAAATCGACAGTTCCCTACCGTTTCAAGTAAATTTTGACCCATAGATTCGTACACTGAAAATGGTTTCAGTCCCTGTAAACAGATACATTATAAAACATTTAACTGTCGTTCATCTATACCAGATATCTGTTGTAGTATCTAGTCAGGCGTTGTTGTATTCTTATAGGTTCTCCTAAAATTGATGCTCTTCTTAAAGCTTCCTTTGCCACTTCGACACTATTCGATTTGTCGTCAGGATGTCGAGTTATTAGTGAATACAGTGCTTTGCCCGTGGTTCTGAAGAACATTTCTCCATCACAGTTAATTCCAGCTGAAAAATAATATGATCTAGTTGCTTTCGGAGAGATCCAATAGGTACCATTTTGTTTGCGGACAATCAGTTGGTTTAACGCATTAGGAACACCACTATGGAAATTTCTGCAAGAAGCTGTGATGATTTTTGGCACTACTTCTGATTTTTGATAAGAGCCGTGTCTTCTAATGCGTTGTATATTTTCAAATGTTTGATTAGCAAAGATGTCAATAACGCATTGTTCCAAAGCAGCTGGCGACATGTTGATGTGGCTTAAAAGACATCTGGAACCGTATAATAATGTGTTTGCCATTTTTTCGAGATCCAGTTGAGGATACTACAACAAAAAATTATAATTCAAGACCTCGGCAGAAATTACATTTACCATAATCGCGGGTTGTATTGCAAAAGTGTTAACGAGTACTTGTAAACCTAGCACATGTGAATAGTACTGCTGCAAAAACTGAGAAATTATTTGTTGTAACAGGTTGCTAAGAGTTGTCTCTAGGTGTTCACACAAGTAAGCTTGCTCTATAGCTGAAACTCTGAAGGTTTGTTAGAAGTTTGTATATTCTTAAAAATTCCCTTACTTGTGGAGTACTCCTTCAAGCGGCATGTATGGTGAGATGTTTATTGGAAATAAGTAATTGAGGACCTTACATAAAGGCAAGTTATTGCAATTTAAACTAATTTGAGTTTTGTTTGAAATGTGCAACTGGATCTCGAAATTGCTTATGCTTACGTATTCGATAACGCTTCGACCGTTCCGGAGATCCTGAAACATTATACATATTTTCTAATATCCGTTAAAGAATTACGTACCTGTGTGCGCAAATTGGTCAAGTCTTGTATAGACTTTATATCACTTACATAGGAAACCGTAGCTTCATCACAAAATTTCTTATAATACATGATCAGTTCACGGATGTCGACAAATAAATCATTCTCTATATTTAAATAGAAGTCTTTTATATTAATTTTAATATGTCTATAAATATCACAATCTTTTGTCGAGCATTTCAGTACGTTCAGGTCAATGAAGGAATTTAAACCTTTCACGACACTCGTAGGGAGCGGATACAAAACAATGGTATTACTGACTTTGTTATCCACCTGAAGTGTGTTGAGTTTGAAGTTAAAATAATGGTAATTCTTGGATTTTCTAAACTGAAAATAAATCGCTGGTGTATAAGTGCGTTTTAATTCGGCGAAAAACGGCTTCAGCATGTACATTTTTTCAAAGTCGATATGAATGTAATCTCGTAATTGACATTTTTTGTAATGCAGTCTGTATTTGTCCTCGATCCACGAGGCCAATTCCAGGGTGAGAGTTTTCCACTTGTGACCAACATTTACTTCCCATATTGCTGGAGTGTCAACCACAGATGCATAAACGTGTTCTTTCTTGGAATTTTCGGAAGTAAACAGTGAAACGCCTACCCCACAAAGTGACACCAGGCATTCGATATCACAGTGTTCCAAAAAGTAGCTGGATAAAACCGCATTAAAAATTCGAGATTCCTGAGTGAAAAGTAGAACTCTTTGGAGCCCTTCAGCGTAACAGAGCCAGTAAATGACAATTTTGTCTCTTCTGACTTTCTTATTCATGGTGGTTTTCACGCTGTCGGAACTGTCGGAGTCATCACTGCTGGAGGATATGTGCATGCTGGTGGTGGGAGTTACACTATGAAACAAAATCTTTTCTTCTCCATAGGCATCTTTGAAGATGTCAATCAAAAATCCAGTTCCTTTATTGTTGTACACGTTCCATACCAACTTCCTAATTTTTGTGGGGTCATCCCAGGTATAGAGAAGCGAGTTGTACGGACTTAGTAATGTCACTTGGCTTTGCTCTTGTTGTTGAATTTTTAAAAAAAGATCAGGGCAATAGTTTTTGACCAAAATTGGAGCATCGCCATATGTGTATTCGTGGAATGTTATTCTAAACGAATCACTAATCCCTCCGGTTATTTCAACTTTAAGAGCCCCCTAAAATAATTTTTAGTTTTTTGTTGTGTGTTATTTGAACGTTTTACCCCTTTATCCATGCGAAGGACAGTTGAATTTGGCGTTGCAAAGTTAAACGCTTGTGAAATCAGTTTACTGTCTCTGTACTTCACGTACATTTGCATGGACGATGTTTCTGGCCAAAAAGTAACGGTTTGATTTGTTCCTATGTCGATCCATAGATCAGTTTTTTCATTATGCTCCATAAATCTAGAACGGAATGATTACAACATTAGTTCTAAACCAGATAAACTAGTTAGTTACCTTAAGTTTCTGTGTGTACAATTAGTCACCAGAAAACTCGGAAGAAGAGTTACAATTTTTGTCAGCCGTGGACACATCTGTGAAAGTTTAATAGATAAGAAGAAGAGATATTTTTTCTTCCTTTCATTATCTTTGCAGATAATTAGACCTGTAGTTCCAGCACATTCCAGACCAAACTCATTAGACCAATTCGAATCGTAAACTTTGACGTTGAGAGTCTGTTTTCCATGTCTTTTGTAAGTAAATAGTAGAATGTCTTCATTGTTACTTTCATAAACAGTATTTGTAGCGGAAGCTTTAATTTGTAAAGGTAAGCCAATTTTATTGATGATCCAGTACGGTGTGTAAAAAAAGATATTGCAACTACCTTCTCGGTCAGTTTTCGTATTTATTGCTAAATGTTTCACCTCTTTACTGTCCGAAGACAAAATCACGATTTTTTCGTCTAAATATGTCGTGAAATTGAGTATACCGGACCACGTGAGCAAATTGTACTTGACTTTTATCAACAGTTTTTGATCTTTAGATAAATCTAAAGAATAAACACTTTTTTTCTCTCCAGGTTCTATCTTTATGTGTTGTTTTAACATAACGTTTTCAACTTCCAAAGAGTACGGCAGATAGTTGTGAAGAATAAGTGGAGGTAACAAATGTATGATATAATTTGGAACCGAATGTGCCTGAGAGTTGGGAATATCCAGATTTTTTGTTAACATTACTCTCAATGAGAAAACTTCGAGATTTGAATCACTTCGTGGTCGACAATGTAGGTTGTGAGCTATATCTAATTCAGTCGCTAAATCTTTCCACCAGATACCAGAATCAGATGTATAATGACCTCTGTAAAAACATATTTTTGAACACTCGTCACACAGTGTGATCATAATGTTGCAAATTTTCGAAAGTAGAATGATCTTCCTTTTTCCATTATCGTTTAAGTATTTCAAAAATTAGGAAAGACCTTCAAAGATTTTTTGTCTGTAAAATATTACTTACTCAGCATAAGCCGGTTGGATGAACAATTTGCAATGGTACGCAATATACAAAGGAACGTTGTAGGATTCATGGGCTTCCAATACTGCTATTCTCATTGTAGTTTCAAAAGGATTCGTCACGTCACCCACTGGTTCTAAATTTAATTGCTGTAAAACTGAAGGCTGATATAACACGCTTAATGCAAAACAAGTTTCGTTTTTGATCTGTTAAAAAACAAATTAGTTTTGTCGTAATCAGATTCTCTAAATTAGTTGTTACCTGTAAAGGTGAACTTATAACCAATTTTCTCCCACATTTACTTATTGTGTGTTTTGCCGCCAAATAATACTTTTGACCGGGGACGGTACATTGTAACTTCATCAACTTTTGCCATGATTTTCGCGAACAGTTGGTCTGAATTGGTGAACAATTTGGTATGAACACCTTAATGAAATGGTTATTAATCTTTTCATAAAGATGTGACGTAGATTCCGATGGAAAGTGTAGACTCGACATTGTTACAAAATCGTAGTTGCTTTCGAGTTCATTTTTGGCGGTGTCTTCTTGTGTACTAAGAAAAGAAAAACTAGAGAAAAAAATCCGTCAAAATGCTACTCACCTATCCTTATCTTCATTAATATCTTCGTTAAAATCTACAGAATAATAAACACTTTTGTTTGGACTCGAAGGTGCAGAGTCTTGATTTTCAAAAGGTTTAACGTACACTAGAGTATCGTCTTCTCCATTTTCATCATTTTTCTTTTCGTAAAGTTCTACCTTTGACTGTGGACCTATATCATTGATCAAATTGATCGATTTCTTATTGGTCACTACAGATAATGTTTTGTTCGAGTAAATAGTGAGAAGCTCACTTAGAACCCTGAGTAGTGTAGGAGTCACGCTTACATTTAAAACTTCTTTTGCATCTATTAAAATGTATGTTGACTTAGTATAGTTCGTGAAAGGTTGTGTCTTATCTTCTTGTGTTTTCGGTTTAATGTTATCATCTGATTCATCTTCACCTTCGCTGGAATGGATATAGTCACTGTCTTCACTCTCATTCCAATCACCTGTGTATACAATTAGTATTTTTCAGTAGTTATGATTACATTGTACCTGTGAACAAGTCAGAAATCGCTGCTGCCAGTTTTTCCATAGCGCCGTCTTCGTTTTCTGAATCTGAATCGTCCAGAAATGTCGACAGACTAGTTTTTACTCTTCTGTTGTTTCGATTGTGTAGTGGATTTATTGGTTCCAGATACATCATGTCTTCGCCTGAATCTTCATCTTCAGTGGTCGTTGGTGTGTTTTTCTTTTTTTCACCAGAGTGATTTTTCGACTTGTGATCTACAACACCTAACATAGGTAGCGATTTATCTTGAAAAATCTTGATCAAGACATCCCAAGGTTTATATTCTTTTTCGTCGATAACAACGGGATCTATCACCGGTTCCCAAGCTTGCAAATTTTCATTGAAATAATTAGCCTGAATGGTAAACTCACAGGTACAATTTAACAGAGAAGACCAATCGTATATTGTCACTTCCATAGTTGATTTTATTAAAAGAACTTGCGTTTCTTCTAATTCAAAAATCACAACGATGTCGAATTTTGGAATTAGGAGTATCTCATGCACATCGATCCCTTTTGCTATGATTTTTTCTTCACATCTAAAGTCGCTGTTTTGAGAGGCGAATTCATCGATCTTTTTTGGCTCCCACAAATCGTCGCACTCCGACTTGCTAGAAGTTCTGCAGTGTGTCTTATTTTCTACTTCAGGCACTTTGAAATGTTCGGTTATATCATTTAAAATGTCTGTCAGCGAATGAACGACCCTGCTACAAATCTGTACGTATATAGAAGAAACAGATGCGATTATTTTTTTGCCTTTTTCTTCTGAGTAACATTTAGAAAACTCAACATCGCATTGTTTTAAAATCACATATGGTTCATTAGAATGCACTCCAATGTCGTAGAAAAGGGAGTGCAAACCAGAGAGAGAAACGACTAAATTTAGTCGATTTCCGTGTCTCGAATAATCCGAAAGTATTTCTGTATGTGTAATAAAATATCTTTTCTTGTTGGAGGTAGTCTCTACTACGAAAATAAATTCTGGTTTATTTATTCTTAAGGAAATAGTCAGACTAGCGGAATACTCTTTGGTTTCTATATCTGATTGCTGATTATCACATTCATAACCATGATTTACAATTCCGCTGTCCAAATTGTCTTTAGGAAGGCACTCTAATACAAATAACGCAATTTTTTCACAAAATGGAACTGATAAACTCAGACTCAGTCTTCCAATAATAACGTCAGCAGATTTATCACCCGCTTTGTTCTGATGAAACGTCACATCAATTATAGGAGCACGATTTATGGTAATATTACAGTTATTGTTCTTATTGTCATCGATAGGCGATTGGAGAATTCTGAAACAACCTTTCTGGAATAACAAAAAAATTAATTGCAGAAACAAACCCTTTGTCATATATGTTAGCATCGGGTCCTATTTCTTCAACAAGAACACCATCGGCGGACAATTTGCCATCCAGACTTCCATCCGTATAAATCGTGAAAGTAGTACTAACGTCACTGATTTTAAGTTTGCATAAACCGTGATTTAAATCTCTAATAGGAGAACTTAACAATTCTCCCGAATCAAAGAATAAAGAAAGCGTCACTTCGTCTAGCGAAAATTTTGCTACGATATTTTTCTGTTTAGGTTCACAGAAAAAAGCTTCTAGAGTTTTCACAGTTTCGTCAGTGATCGCTGCGCAACGTTGTGCTTTTATCTGGTCTGGAAAGAGATCTATGATTTTACCTTCACCAATATTGTCTTTGTAAATTGATAAAATTGTTGAAATATCTCGCTGACCCAAAGTTATCAAAATACAATCCAGCGCTCCATCTATGTCCCAAAACTTTTGAGCACTTTTTATGTTCGTGTATCTTTTGATATCGAAATTTACGTTTATTGGTTCAATTAGAGTTTCTTGCATCTCTAGAGATGGTACTAATGTCATTACGCCTCTAGTGACGGTCATACCGGTCCATTTTAACAAGATGTTTTCCATTATATCATTACTGTACTCTTTGAAGAAATTTTCTACGTACAAATCACCAGTGTCAATTATCATGACATTGGGAGAGGAAGACTTTTGTGGAAAGAGGAGAACAGGTCCACACACGTTTATTGCGAGATGTATTCTTGTGTTAGCTTTTAAAGTATCAGTGACGGTGGTCACGGCATTGTAAAGGTACTCTATAATTCGGTTTATGTATGGGAGGGCTTCTAGATTCATAACAAATCTCTAAAATTTTATTTTATTTTACGAATAGTTAGAATATGTAATTACCTGAATTTGTACGATAAGTTTGTATAGTAGTGTGAGATGAATTTGTCCCAACTGGAATTTAAAACTACCACCAGTTAATGTTTCGTCTCGATTTGTAATGTCGTTCTTTTGAATGTGAGATGCTTGTCTTACATATTTCAGTTCAAACACTTTATCTTCATCTGTCGACAGTACCTTAAAAAAATTGTTAACCATGGCCACAGTTCAAACTACTAGCGTAGGTACCTTAGTGTAAAGAGTGATCTCCGATAAGTGTTCCACATTGATGTTACTTAAATACGATCTAAATACAAATCTCTCGTTGGCTCTAAATAAGAAGTCCATTTCCAGTCCTGACAATTGTATATTGACGATATCAAAATCAGAATCGCACACTCTCACATTTATATCTGCTAATCGAGCAGAGTGTGAGAATTTAATGGAACCAGGAGGTACCGGTGTCAGTGGTTGTTGATGCAATAAGTTGTTTATAAATTTCATAACCTTAAGAGTTGTATCACGTAATGAAATAGGGGTCTGAAGTTTCAACCTAAAAGTAATGCGGACATACTTTGTTATGACACAGTATTTTAAAATCATACTTGTTGAATAAGTAGTTTGAATACTTAACAAGAGTATGAATTGCTTCTTGGTGGAGTAATAAGTGGATAGTACCAAAGTCAGCGACTAATGACGTTTCGACGCCATGAAAATGACTCCAGAAATCTGGACAACCTGCACTTACTTTTCTGTATAAAACAGTGATTACGTCCACTGTACAAGGAAATGGACTATATATTAAATCTAAGTATTGGCCACTAGGTGTGGTGTGCAGTTTATCTGTGAGAAGTATACTGTTAATGGAAACTTGGTAAGCTGGTCCAAAAGTCATTAGCGCTATATCGGCAGTGAGAAGACCTAGACGAAACATAAGGTACTGTCGATCGGTGCTATCACTAGACCTTGAGAACACAACTGTAAACTAAAACGAGAGTATTAAATTATGCACGAATAGGTGAAAGAAGTTACCTCGTTGATAATAAAACGAAGTAGAATTATTATGTTATTGTTGGGAGAAATATTATCTTCAAGACCTGGTAGATCTACGTATCGTGCCCACGCCTCATTCATGTCTTCTTTTTTAGTATTATTATTAGATTTTCTAAAAAGTATGGTTATCGTGTGTTGTTAAAACCTATGGTAAACCTACTCTATTTTGGTAGTTTGAGATTTGTCGATCTTTCCTCGTTTAATTTTTATAAAGTTATCAGTTATCGATACTAAGGCTTCAACGTCTGCTAAATACTTCGATCCTAGGTAATTTATGACTATGTCTTTATCAAAAGTTAGATCAGGTTTAAAGTAAATTCTAGTCACGTCTAAATAATTCCCATTATTTGAAAAAAATTTGAGAATTTGACCACTTTTCCTCTCGGACATGTTAATTTTGAGGGAGTGAAAATTGAGATTAAATTTGTACTTAGGAATAGATTTTTCCAGTCTTGAACTGCGTGCATATACCGCAGAAAATGAATTTTTTGGAACTATATGCAAGTCTGTATCTTTCTCTTTTCTTTCGTCTTTCCAATTATCTGAATTCTGACAAAACAGAACTTGCATATCATTGCACTCAATGTGCAACTTTGAGTAAAACTGTTCTTCCATTTCCATTTGAGTTGCATTTTCGATTAAATCAGCAGTTTGGCAAAGTTCAGTTGTGACGAAGTAACGGCCTAGATCGACAACCAATATATTATCTGCTCTAAAATGAATGAATGAATTATTTATTTATTGTTCGAAGGTCCATCTTACTTCAGAAAAGATCCAAATTCGGGAATTACAAAGAACGGGATTTTAACGTTGAGAGTCATATCCCATTTCTTGGATAATTTTGAATCTATGAGACCACGAATTATGTTAGGCCATTCTCTAAGAAGATTAGACAATGAGGCTCTTGGTAAAAATTCGTTATCTAGGTATGTCATTATGTCCTCGCAAAATTGCTATAATAAAAAACTTTATTTTTGCATTGGCGCAGCTAACGAGTTACCTGATTGTATAGACACTCTATTGAATCTAAAGTTACGTTCAGTCTGTGCGAACATTTTGAACCGGTGGGCATTTTTTCAAAGTCGGCTTTTAAAATATATGCAGGACTTGTACTAAGGTGTTCTGAGGCTATAATGGACATTAATTGTTCGTCTTCATTTGAACCTTCCATTATCACACCTTCTACTTTAATAACAGATTTGTATGAACAATCAAAATTATTGGGATGGAAGCTCAAATTGGTCTGAGTCAAAGTAAGTAAAACAATCTCTTTTGAGTTATTTGTTAAAGACAGACTAATGTTACCCATTCTTAGATTATATTGTTGGTCTGAAAAATACCCATTTATTTTTGTATAAATTGTTTATGAATTACCTATGTGCAGGTGATCACAGTTTTTGTCATAGAACCCAATTTTCTTACATAACAGAGTTCTTTCAGGGGAAGGTAACATAGACCAGAAGTTTTTTTCACTTAAACTGCGCGACTGAACCTAGAAAAACACTTCAGGTGAAGATTTTGCAGAGTTGAGTTTTTACCAGGAGTCGGGCGTGTTGTCTTGCTATAACAATATTCACTATAGACAAATTGTCTTCATATTTTTGAAGATCTAGCTTTAATTCGGTATCATTAGGGTTTAGTATAATTTGCTTGTATGTTTGCATGTAGCCTCTATAACATTCTCTCGTTTTCTTTATTCTTTCCCAAGTGTATGGACGAACTCTTTGTTCTAAAACCGCCAAATAAGCGTATTTCCACCAGGCGCGTTTATTTTCTAGAATCGTTTGCTTCGGACGCGAAGATAAAAATTCCCAACTAACCAAGACTCGCTTCAACGAATCATTTACCGCTAAAATAGAATCATATTGTTCTTTACACAACTGAATGTTACAGTCTTGAACAATAACATCAGTTAGACATTTTAATATATTCCCAGCATTTGATTTATTCATTGTGATTTTAATCTTAGTAGTCATCGGTTTAAGAACTGAAAATGCATTCTTAGTAGGTGGAAAGTGCATAACGTGTGCTACTAACCAAAATTGAAAGTCTCGTCATTCATGGAAAAATTCTGCAAACTGTTTGACATAGCATTTCTCCACATGTAATATTCTGATGGGAGATTCCATTTTGTCACCTTCGAATCATGGTTCCAGTATGTCGAAAGGGTTTCGATTTTTATAAGGTAGTAACAGTTATTACTGTTACTTTCCACTTTGCTAGCTTTCCATTTGCTATAATTAGATTTTACAGTTTTTTTTATTATTGTTATTTTTTAATTGGGACTATACCTGTTTGTCGTTTCTGCGGTTATGCTTCCTATACATAACCCCGCTGAAATGGGCGTTTTATAGCTTACGAGATCTTCGTACCGAATATGGACGTTCGTAACAGTGAATTGAAGACTATTTAAAATGTTCGTTACTAAATGTTCCGAGAACGAATTCGGCCCTCCGATTATATGACTCTCAGTGTCTAAATTGGCCAAGAGCTTCCGCTTAAAAGCTCGAATTAAACGTTTATTTTTATCAGCATCGAACGTTTCGTTTGTTAATAAAGGACCTGAAACGATGTGTAAATCTTCGATATTTACGACTACGGGTTGACTCCATAGGGACGTCCATGGTATTTGCAGCCAAATTTTTCCGATTGTGCCAGCTTTTACTTCGATTGGAAGACCTAACTCGTACTAAAACAAATTGAAAGTATCCTGAAAACGAAAAACGAATACTAACCAGGGCTTCAGTTTTCAGTTTTAAGTCAGTCAGTTGGACGTGACCTGAAAATATTCCCACATTTAAATTTTCGGTATCAAGGTCAACCACGTATTTTCCTAATAAATGGTTGAGGAGTCTTGCTACTGCCCCTTCAAGCATCCTGAAATGAGGGCAAACAAGCATGTTTTTGGTTGTGTCCTACTTGAATTAAGAGCTTACCTTTTACGTGATTGTGAACTATTGATGGATTTACTTCAAAGTTTGGGTTTGTGTATCATGTCTGTTTCAGCTATTGATTTCAGGGGTTGTTTAATATCAGAGTGGCTCGCTTTCAGGAGTCGCTGTCAGCGGTAACCCTTACGTCAGCCAGGCGCCCACTTTTAAATCGATAGAGGGTGACAATTTTGTTTTGAAAGAAAAAAAGAAAGTAGCGGCTTTTTTTTCTTGAAACGATAGGATTCTTGTATAACCGTTGTGATGTTTATCATTATTATGTACTTTTATGATTTTTTATGTAACAGATTTTCCTTCGTTTTTCAAATAAATGTTGATAGGAATTGCTTCTATGGTGGAGGCGCCGGGAAAAACAAATTATATCACGAACAATACGTTTTTCGGAGATGCGCCGGTCCAGTTTTCATTTTAATTACTCGAAAGTTGCTGTTTATTCATCAGGGTGTTAAAATACCGATTATTCTTGGGAACGGGGATGAATTGTTCTGGGAAACTGTTTAACGTGAAACTCTTTGTGACGCATTTACCTGGAAATCGCTTTACAGTGAAATCTTGACGGCACAGGACAGAATTTTTCGAATAAAAAGTTATATACGAAATTTCTATTTCAAACAAGATTCTCTATCAGGATATCAATGTCATTTAACTGTTTCAATGTAAAAGAATAAAGCAAGGTTTTATTTGAAATATATTTTTTGAAACAAAATCATTACTTTTCTAAGAAGGTAGAATAAATTAATTTATTGATAGGAAAACTAATTATTATTTCAAAGTAGAGTAATGTATAATGTGAATTAAAAAAATTGATCTAAATTTGTTTGGACAGAAATTCCCTCACCACTGAGGCACAATCAATTAACCAAGTCTAGTTTTTTCGATAAACCATAAAATCTGGTTCAGCTAGTTTCATTTTTTTGTTGTGGTAACCTCGACAAGTCAAAATGAAAATAGATTTGGGTTATTGACCTACAGGTAAAGGAACATGTGCACGTTTCATTAACTTTGTAAAAGGGATAAATATAAACCAATTTGAACAGATATAGAGTAATACTAACAACAGTACCCGTACCGTGATTTTTGTTTCAGGAAAATAAAAAACCGTTTTTTATTTAATCACCAAAATAATTTTTTTAATACACTAACTTGATAAAAATGTTTGAACATTTTGAAAAAACAAGAGGGTATGAAGGAAATACAAGTACAAAATTCTACTTTTCTGAACATTTTAAATGAAAATAAATTACAAAATTTTGAGATGATGTCATTAAGTTTTTGGAAGAAATGAAAAAAATACGATAGTGTAAGGCGCTTGTAAACTTGCAAAGCAATGGGTTCTTTAGTTGTTAAATTCCGAGAACCAAAACTGCATCCCATCCTACCCCAGGTGCAATCACTTTGAAGCAGTAATTCGTAGTCTGTACTAGCATGTGGATTAATAAAAACAAATATACTTCACTAATCACTACTTATTTAATAATACGGTATGTTACTCGATTCTGTACATCAATCCCTGGTTGACATAACATATAAACTGATCTCGGCAATGGTTAAACTGTAATGTTTTCTTGTATCTTTTTGAATTTTTTTCCCAAAAAGCTACATGAACAATGTGGAAAATAAGGCGATGTTAATAAATCACAGCTATAAAAGTGTTTTTTTTCTACATTTTTGATTTTATTCATATAATGTCCGAAACTAGTGGACCCATTAGTGTCAAATTTCATATGAATATTAGGAATATTATAAAAAACATAAACCAAAATTTGTCTAATCATCCCTACCAACAATTATATTGCGAATTAACATTTCTAAATTTTTTGAAATAATATACTCCTGTACTTCTGGTTTATGAATCCACCTTAATTTTGTTTATAATAATTAAATAGGAATTGTAATAATAATACTGAGAACATTTTGCTCCATTTTAGCTTAATTAAAAATTTTAGTCATCTATTTTGAGGAGACAAACTCATTCAAATCAAACAAATTACTACGTGCTTAATCATGACATTATTTCGATATATAAACATAAACAATCGAAGTTAAGCATGTACAGTGTACACTGGTTATCATACACTTTTTCTAGCTGGTTATCTGCTTTAAATATATTTCATGTTGTCCGCACGTGTACGGTATGCGCCCTCTTTAAATTTGAGCCCCTGTGACGCAGGGGCTGCGGGGTGACATTTACTGGTTTTTATTTTGTTGAGGTTATCACAATCAAATTTTATAATGTTTCAAAGAAGTTGAGTTTGTTGGAATGTTCTTCAAGGGCGAGGGAAGTTCTGTCGACCAATCTTTAAGATTTGTTTTGCAATATTTTATGAAGAGATAAGTGGAGTACACGCTTTGTTGTGACATCAATTAAATAAAATTTTAATGTGCAGTGTTTTAAAAAAATCTAAAACGTTGCAAATTTCAAATGTCGATATTTCACTTTTTTCAAATAGATGCTGTATTTTACTGCATGTTACACTATTTTCTGTTCTCTTTCTTCCAATATGTCGGTGTGTCTCTTAAAAGTAAAAAATCACACTATCGACTTTAAATATAAAAAATACTAACAAAAAACAATACAATACAGTGTTTTATTTGAAAAAAAAAAACAAAAATATCGATAATTGAAACTTAAATTATTTTATTTTTTTATATAAATATCCGATACATTAAACCTCAGTTTTATTAATAAAATTAAAATATTGTAATAGAGATTTTAATAAAATTACGATTTTTTTGTGAACCATTCCATTGCTAAAAAATACAAAAAATGGATAACGTGGCAAAGTCGCATATGAATTTCCATAATAAACTGTGGTTATAAAATGTAAGAAGAGATCAATAATAATCTGTAAAAATATAGAGATGTCCCATTAAAAAAAAAATAAGTTGTGTGTTACGCCTTAAAAACCGAACACTTTGTGCAGCTGGAAATAATTTGAGTGTATGGTCCTTAAAGAACCGCATAACTTTAGTCTGTAACTTTTTTTTCTGTTTCTAGTAATTAAAAAGATATCGAGGAGCGCGCGCGGTTGAAGACTCCCCGCACACATATAACTTGTGTTCTGACTCAATTTTTACCACTACTTAATATATGTTATCTGTCAACCAGCGCACTATCAAAAGACGTGGCTTCACAATCAAAATTCGTGTTAAATAATTTCAGATAGGGGAATGTGGGGCATAGCGGACCTCTTATCCTCTTAACAAAAAATAATTAATTACACCTTCAAGGGTATATCAGTAGCAGTTTTTTACGTGTAGTAGTGCATACATACAGGGTGATTCACGAGGAATAATGAACATGGAAACATTTTTTATGCAACCAACACTATTTTTCACAGCTTACTGAGTTCGCTATATTTCTTTAAAAAGTTATAGTTTGAATCCGCGGTTGCCATCATTGACATTTTTTGGCAAACTCTACAAATTTATTACAATTTATGTAAAATGTATACCTATTCAAATGACGAGAAAACAGAAATGATTTTAGTATATGGAGAATGACTGAAGAATGCATCCCTTCCTGCACGTGTTTATGTTCAACGATAGCCCGAAAGAAGAACGATTTTTAAAGGATTGTTTCATCCTTATCATATCACCTTGGTCCAAGGGCTTAAAGAGACAGAGTACCCTAAAAGACTTAATTTTTATCACGCTTTTATTAGCTTGGGTTGTATGTATCTATGTATGTATGTAACGGAATCTTTGAGCTTAATTTTCATCGGTTTCTAAAAGTCTGATCATCTTGAAACTTTGCACACGTCTCAAGGATCGATGACAATGCAATAATTTGATAACGACAGTTTCCCATTATCCTTATTAGGACCGCCAGGATTTATAAATTCTTTTATGGATCCTGTGTAGTGGAGTAAAAGAGATAAAGCTAGCGCGCGATCTGCGCATGCCTGTAGTATCTGGTTTACTCTTCATTGTAATAATTATAGTCTTGATTAAAATACAAATAACGGATATTAAATGAAAAAAACAAGAACGGACTTTTAATTAACTAAACGTGTGCAAATAAAATGGCTGATCGCATCTTAATTGTGTCAGTATACACCACGGTTATCTCTCTCCGTGTCGATTATACCGATCTATACCGATTATTTCTGTTTCAAGGACAATTTCTGCATAGCTTTGGTTGTACAGTCGGTAAAGAAGGAATTAATTATAATTAAAACATATCTAATCATGAATTCTCACCAACTTAAATAAAGATAACAAATTTTGATTCAGAAATACAAACATGGAGGAAAATTAACTATTTAGGGGGTAAAACTAACCACAATGATGAATTGTGTCCCGTTGGTCCGTGAGGGCGATTGATTTCGAACTAATTCCCGTTGATCGATCATACGGAGACCACTGAGTGGTTCTTTCTAGAAAAATCTAAATAAGTAATTAATTCCCCAATTTATGAATCTGTCGCAGACTAAAAAATGAAAAATAAATAATAGTTTAAAAAACTAAAAAAACACGCTTTTATTGCTAATCGAACTAAAAACTAGAAAATAATTTTTAATGACAGAGTTTAATATTACAGTAGTAGAAGATCAAACAATCAATCATAATAAATCACCTCAAATTAAAATTATAATAAAATTTAAGTTATTAACAGAATAATTCAATTCAGAGTAAAAAGCGTAGGGTGCTTGATATTTTAAATATTACAATCATTCTATTGGCAACTATCTATTAGTCTAAGAGCCAGTGGCCGGCTACCTGTATGTAATTGACCAGACCTCGAATTTTGTACAGAGAGTCTCCTCGATCCAACATACAAGGGGTGGGGACTTACTAAGCCCAGCGCGGCTGGCGCAGCTGGATCTCAGGTACGCCAGGTATCAAAAAATGACTAATTTTAAATCCATTTGACCACGTCTGCCATTTGGAAATTTTAAAATATATGTTTATTTTTATTAAAAAGTAACCATGGCAGACCATTATCACGCGTCTAACATCGTGGCAGACAATTCTGAAAGTGCCAAAAAATATAAAATTTCCAAACTAATTTTGACCAAGTCTGCCATTAACATATTTTGTTTATTGTAGTCTTAGAATATTATATTTATCACGGCAGACGTTTTTATTGAGTATACACTTCAGCAGATAACAAAATCTTAACTACTACCCGAGCAGATATATAAAAATGACGCATTATATCTTACATTTATTTCATCTGCTTTGTGATTAAATTTATTGTTGTTTTTAAAAATTGATATTTCTGTAGGAATTCACATATCGTATCCGATAACTCCTGTACCTCTAGCTTTATGTCATTTAGATGGTAGTATTTGTAAAACAGTCAAATCCGTACTTTCTAAATGTCTGGAACCAAATATTGATCAGGAATCACCTCACAATACAGATGCATTTTTAATTGATGGGTTTTTCATTCTTCATTCTATGAAAGAAGGACCAAAAACATTAGAAAATATTTCCAAAAAATGTTTGCAGATGATAACAAAATATCTAGCACGAAGAATCGACGTAATTTTTGCATCCATCTATAAAAGACAATGAAAGAAGTCTACGACATGAAGCATCGTTAATTGACTTCACAATTTCTGGGCCTGACCAGGTACGACCATCAGATTTTACAAAAGACGAAATTTAAAGAACCTGTCATTGATTTCTTTATTAAACATTGGTGTAGTGATGAACTGGTATGTATCATTTGTCGGTAATCAACTGATACATTTGAACTTTCGAAACTGTCATTCTTATCGAACTGTTAATGATATTATACAATCAAATATAAATTTTTAAAAACAACAATAAATTTAATTTCAAGCAGATAAAATAAATGTAAGATATAATGCGTCATTTTTATATATCTGTTCGGGTAGTAGTTAAGATTTTGTTATCTGCTGAAGTGTATAGGTACTCAATTAAAACGTCTGCCGTGATAAATATACTATTTTAAGACTACAATCAACAAAATATATTAATGGCAGACTTGGTCAAAATTAGTTTGAAAATTTTATATTTTTTGGCACTTTCAAAATTGTCTGCCACGATGTTAGACGCGTGATAATGGTCTGCCATGGTTATTTTTTAATAAAAATAAACATATATTTTAAAATTTTCAGATGGCAGACATGGTCAAATGCATTTAAAATTAGTCTTTTTTTGATACCTGGCGTACCTGAGCTCCAGCTATGCCAGCCGCGCTGGGCTTAGCGAGTCCTCAGTCCTTGTATGTTGGATCGAGGAGACTCTCTCTACAAAATTCGAGGTCTGATCAATTACATACAGGTAGCCGGCCACTGGCTCTATGTACTATATGAGAGGATAGTTATGAACCGCAGTAAAATGCACCCCACGCTTTTTACTCTGAATTGAATTATTCTGTTAATAACTTAAATTTTATTATAATTTTAATTTGAGGTGATTTATTATGATTGATTGTTTGATCTTCTACTACTGTAATATTAAACTCTGTCATTAAAAATTATTTTCTAGTTTTTAGTTCGATTAGCAATAAAAGCGTGTTTTTTTAGTTTTTTAAACTATTATTTATTGTCGATTTGTTTGGGAACAAACCATTTTAGAGCAAGATTTTTTGGAAAATATGCTTTTCAGTGATGACTGATGAGGCATTTTTTGGAAACAATGGGGGTGTAAATAAACATAATTGTGACTACTATCTGCAGAATAACCTCCGCTGGATTCGCGATTTGTTAACTTTGCATTTGGATCAACCTTCTCTACGTTAAAGAACTTCTTCGAAGTAGATTTCCAGCCGCTGGTGTATGATTATTTTGTTTCACCTTTTAATAGTATTTTTTTTAATTGCCGTTATTTTGGCAATGCCTTTAGATTCCACTTGAAGTTTTTTCCTCTATATTTGAGGTAGAAGTCAAAATCAAACTTTCTTTTTCTTTTTCCTCGTGCTGAGTCTTACGTGGACGTGCTTTAGGCAAAGGGATCAAATCTGCAGGTGGCAAATGTTTATTCGCTCTATGTGAAATGATTTGTGGGGAGGCTGTTCTTTCTTTTGAGCAACCCACAGCAGGAACAAACAGAATTCGTTTGTTTCAGAATTAGTAGCCGCATGTCTATTGGCTTCAGAATTAGACTCTTCTCTATTGGTGGTTTTAGACGATTTAAATAATTCTTCTGGGAAAATATTTGGATTGTACGGAAAAATGCCTGTACTTTTTAAACTATTGCATGCAGGTTGGACGGTGGCGGCTTTTTGACACACATTTCCACGATTGTTGATTTGTTTTTCTTTTGTAATTTCGCACCATGTACGATAGTGGAAAAATATTCACTTTGCCCAACACAACAGTTTTCCACTTTACCCTATATTGGAAATCGACAAAAAAAATTGAAGCTGTAACTTTAAGATTGAAAAAGAACTGAAACTTACCTTGAATAGAACACAAGTACCCCACATATTGAACTGATATAGCAAAAATTGAAATGTTTTCTAATAGTCTCTATGAATTTTAATGAAATACCCCGTTTTTCTAGACTTAACGGCAATAATATTTTGTTTTTACTATTGCAGGTAAACTGGTAGGTGTATTAGAAGGACATTACACTAAAGGTATCTTTGACATGTGGTTAATATAGTTCAGTACGTTCATTGCAGATGACAGCACACATTTAGTTTTTAAACAAAGATTCCACTTTACTTCCACATTTCGCTTTGCTCCACATTCCGCTGTTACGTTCATTTACAAGAACTTTGAATTATTTTTAATTAATTGGTATTAACTTAAAATTACATTTATGCCATAGAGTTATTCAATATTTGTTATTTTTTGTTTACACGAAAAGCTATAAAATGAAGATTCTGGTAAAAATCGCTTGATTTTTTGGAATTTCTTCTTCGTTGTTCATGTAATAACATATTTCGACTTGTTTTTGACGATTCTGATCGACACGACGTACTTCCAGTATGCAGAATCGACTAAATTTGTCAAAAGGAGATGATTGGGTAAATTTTTCACATTACTGTAAAAATGCCATCTGATTAAAATGTTTTTATTTACACAGAATTAAAAAACCTAAGTCTACAAATTTGGCTTTCTAGATAGATATGTAGATTAAAAGATACATAGCTAGTAACACAGATCACAAATCGAAACTTTTACACCTTAAATAATTTACATATTATACAAAAATTAAGTCCGTAAGTTCTAAATTGTCTATCAGTTATACAGAAAATTGTTTCCATGTTTATAGTATCTGTAATTCAGCACATTTTAAAAATAAAAAAACCGTTTACAGTTTTTCAATAACTTTTTTTATACAAAGAGGCAGTTTAACTTAAATGGTATTAATCACATAGGTATAAATTATTTAGCATTAACAGCCATCTAAACATTTGATAGAAAAAACACCAAGTATATAACTTAATACTAACACCTAGCTAATATGTACAACTTATACAAGATGTTTTATTGCTTTGAAACATATTTTTGTTTTCCGTAATTCGAAATCGAACAAAATTTGTACTTCTAACGCGTAGTATAGTTTTACATAAAACACCCTGTAGATATATATATTTAAACATTTTCATAATGGTTTTCTATTCAATCGTAATAAAGGAAAAAAATAAATATTAGCGTTACATTTCACATGAATAATCTACTAAAACATTTGCGCACTAATGCGCTAGTCAATGACTTAAATACGTTACCAATGTCATGGCTACAAATGAACAAGTGCTAGGAACGTTTCCTGTTTTCGCTGCTTTAGTGTACTTTTAAATTATAATCAAGTATTTATTTAGATGTTATCACTTTCATCCGAAAATTTTGAAATATATAAATAAATTGTTAGAAACGGGTTTAAAGTCAAATAAAACCTACTTATTTTGTACGTATTTACACGAGTAAGAACAACAGTTACATAGAAAATTAGACTAATGAGCTAGTTGTGAACAACTGATGTTAATTATTATTGTGTGTGGGGTTAATCATACGCGAAGATAATTTTCAGCGAAACAACAATTGCATGACGACGGCGGTGATAATGAATGGTGTGATAAAATTCATGGACCAGTAATGTTATTTTGTAGATTATTATTTTTCGATCTACATTGCAATCTCAAAGTGAATTAATAAACTTGAGAACATTAACTATTTTCGTCAATCTGAGGACTATTGTGGTATTATTAAGTACGTCACCATTTGAGATTTATTCAGAATGACAACACTGACAAATAATATTAAGTGTTTGTAATCAATTTAGATAGATTATGATTGCATTATTGTTGTAATCGACAATAATATTTGTTTGGATCAAATTTTATATAAATTGTACTAAGAACTCGATAAACTGTTGATAAAAAGTTGTTTCATAGTTTTTTGTTTCATTACGTCAACGTTATCACTTTACTGAACTTCAGGAAGCAGCAACTGGATTTAAGTGGTCTACGATCAACCTTTTAACTATTATTATTTATCCTCTTGATTTCGCTCGAATCGGAACTTCTGGATTCACATTCTGCTTCTTTTATCGTATCCTTCAAAGGTCCACTACCAGTTTCGGGTAGAAAGAGTACACATATACCACCAATTATACCGCAGCCTGCTATAATTGACATAGGTACACATTGATGGATGTTCGCCTATTAAAAAGAATATTATTAACAACAATTTTCAGTAATATTTTTTTACCATTTCCCATAAGTAAGGTACTAACATCAGCGCAATTCCTGCTGAAACGTTACTAGCTCCAACACCTATGTTTCGGATGATGGTTGGATACAACTCGGCTGTAAAAACCGGCATTATTGCATTAGATGAACTGATGCTAAATCGACTAATCATTGCTAATGTTGTAATGATCCATTGAAGATTGTGCGAAACCAAATCTATAGGTACTGTACATGCACAAGCGACTCCAGAAAGCATCATGGTTAAACCCAAGGGCCATCGACGGCCACCTTTGAGGAGAATCACAATGCTAAGGGCCACTGCTGGGATTTCTACTGCACCAGATAAAACCTGCAACAATAAGAATCACTTTTAAGGGACAGTTAAGAAAAAATTGGTCGTAGGATACTTCAGGAGAACTTCCCTCGCCTCTGAATACAATATTTCCAACTTCTTCGAAAACTTATAAATTTGACTTTGTGAATGTTATTTTTTTTTAAGAGAACCCCTATAAGTTAAAATAAAGATGTGTTTGTATTGTTCAAGTAAACGTAAAGAAGCGTGCTATGCGTTTGTTTCAGGTGAGTTTATCCGTGACAAAATTTTGTGAAGAAGTCATCAACATTTTTGCAAAGACACTATCTCAATTTGGATATGGGCAGTGTAATATATATTAATAATAATAGTATTGTATTCCCAAATCTTCAGAAAAATAGAGTGAGCCGTTCCTGATTCAATCAATAAAATAAATTGACTCATTCATTAATTTTTTTGTCACCCCCCATAGGATAGGATTTTCAGATGACGTCATCAATTTTTTGGGGGGAGAATAAACAGATATATTTTGGTTTTACAGATTTAAAATTAAATTGCAAAATGTTATTAGTTATTACAGAATTTTGATTTTTTTGCCAAAAATTTTTATATATAGGGTAAAACTCAACAAAGATTCGTAAACTACAGGTGTAGGACTATGGTATTCTATATAATTTAAACGTCCTTTTAGTGTGTACAATTTTGAGGTGACGGCATTACATTGTTGGTGGGGATGACTAGACAAAGTTTGGCTAGCGTTTTACTATCTACATGATACATCTACATAATACACACATTAAATTTGACAACAATCAGTCCGGTAGTTTCGGAAATTATCTGTCTAACAAAAAATGACACAGGCGGCGGACAGGCAGACGCACTCTAGGGGTCATGAAATGTATGGAGTTGGCCGATGGACTCGATTACAATACTTCCTTAAGTTACGCTCGAGAAGTAAAAAGAAACTGAAAAGCTTTTTGCCAACAACCAGAGTAATGAAAACGTAACAATATGATGGATGTTCCCATTTCAGTAATAATTATTATCATACTGTATGTTGAGTCAATTAAATTTCAGTGCTTAAGAACCTATTAACCCAATGAATTATATCGCGAATTAACTTATTTAAGGATGATGCCATAAGAAATCCGTAACCTTGGGAAAACCTTTTCTTTAATTTCCAAGAATTTTAACTTGAATAAAAAAAAATGCAAAATCTTAGGGGTCAAATCAGATTAAATTACACTTAACTGTTTACACTTTGGAAAGTGTTAAATTTGATAAAACGAAATACATAGTTTTTAAATAAATGAATTATGATTACAATGATAACAACAGTATGCTGTAATACCAGGCACACCTAACTAATATCGCAACAGATAACAGATTAACATTTTTGTTACAGTTTAGTGTTGAAAACATGGTAGGCACAAAGTAATCAGTTAAATTACTTCCTGGTACCATAAAACACTCAGATATGTTGAAAATTTGAGTGATGTGTAATTAACAACACAATAAAAAGGATCTGATCTAATGTCTCTCATACAGTTATTATTAGAAGATGTCGTTCAATGTCCAGCGTCAAATTTTCAACGTAAACTTAATAACACCTATTGCCAAAAACCCAGTCACTGTTAAACGTAGCCTAAATAGCTAACTCTTCATTTAGAAATCTGAATAATTATCCCAAATTTTAACAAACATCAGAATCATAAGATGTGAAATCCTGATGGTCATCCACATCTAGAATAAAATGTGAAAACGCTGATTGTGAGACTAATAGTAATAAAAAAAAAAAACGATATTTTTATTAATTAGTAAAACACAATAGTAGATCTCAAAGGAAAAGGGTTCTTAACAGAAATAAGTTTTACCTTCCTGACCATAGTGACGACTTGTACTATATCGAATTATGTTATTCTGATTCTATAATAATAGGAAATCTTGGTAAGCAATATTCTGTAATTCCGAATTATGTTATACTAAATTATTTTATCGTGCTTATTGTTAACGTTAAAACTGTTCTTCATTTGGCCGTGGACATCATTTCCACGTGATTTCTAAAGAATTAACATTAGTAGTATTAGATACCTATATGATATTATTAACTGAATGTATTCAACAAATCTCCCTCTCCGTTGGTTCCATTTATAATGAGTGTGGCTTCATTTTCCACCAAATTAACAGCTGTCTCAGGATTTATAATATTCCAAAATACCTAAAGTTTTATATAAAAATTTGTTTATAATTCCGTATTCTACAATTAAAGCCCCTTCTAAACCATTAATTTATCATTTTCCGGTAGAATGTTTTTGAAAATTTTAAACAAGCAAAACACAAGAATTTAAGAAATAATATGTTAAAATTGCCTGTCGGGTATATTATGTTTTACAATAATCTTGCTGAACTTAAAGCAAGTGTGACTACCAGTTTAAGATGAATTTTACTCTCGAGCATAAACTAGGAGTTATTTTGAGTAGTGAATGATTTCATACTTTCTACACGATTCACAGCTTGTACCAAGCGAGCAATAAAAAACACGATCATCAAAAACAGCCATTGAATTTTGAAAGTTTGTCTTTGATCGTTACATATTCAACTCAGCTGACAATAATTTGATGAGACAAAAGAGTCAAACACAAACTTTCAAAAATTCATGGCTGTCTTTGATCCCATTTTTACTTCCCGAGCGTAAGCAAAGGAAGTATTGTAATCGAGTCCGTCGGCCGACTCTCTACTTTTACGTTTTCTCGATCTTTCATGACCCCTAGAAGACGAAGAAATAGGTCTCCCATTTCCGTCTGTCTGTCCGTCTGTCCGTCCGTCTGTCCGTCTGTCCGTCCGTCTGTCCGTCTGTCCGTCTGTCCGTCCGTCTGTCCGTCTGTCCGTCTGTCCGTCTGTTGTCCCGGATTTTTATTAGACAGATAATCTCCGAAAGTACTCGACCGATTGTTGTGAAATTTTGTACTTATATTAAGAATATCATGTAGATGGTAAAACGCTAACCAAAATTTGTCTAATCATCCCCACCACTAATGCGATGACGTCACTTCAAAATTGTACATAGTAAATGGGTTTTCAATTGTATAAAATAACATAGTCCTACACATGTAGTTTACAACTCTGAATCGACTTTTCACCCGAAACGTCCAGATTTTTGAAAAAAAAATCAAAATTATAAAACAACATTTTGAAATTTAATTTTTAATCTGCTAACCAGAATGCTTTGAAATGTTGCAGATGTTTTAAGGCTATAAAGAGCATCATAAATCTTTAGTCAAAAAATATTTGCTTATCCCCTCCAAAAACTTGATGACGTCAGCTCAAAAGTTTGTGGAATAAATCATATCTAAAATGTACAAAATATGATGAGTCTGTACTTGTGATCTATCACTCCATTCATATTTTTTGGATTTGCATATACAGAGTGACTCAAAAAAATTAATGAATGCGTAAATATATTTTATTGATTTAATCAGGAACTACACAACCGAATGCTCTGAAATCTTGCAGATGTTTTAAGGTCATAAAGAGCATAATAAATGTTTAGTCAAAATATATTTGCTTATCCCCTCCAAAAAATTGATGACGTCAGCTCGAAAGTTTGCCGAATAAATCATATCTAAAATGTACAAAATATGATGAGGCTGTACTTGTCATTTATCACTCCATTCATATTTTTTGGATTTGCATATACAGAGTGACTCAAAAAAATTAATGAATGCGTAAATATATTTTATTGATTTAATCAGGAACTACAAAACGGAATGCTCTGACATCTTGCAGATGTTTTAAGGTTATAAAGAGCATAATAAATGTTTAGTCAAAATATATTTGCTTATCCCCTCCAAAAACTTGATGACGTCAGCTCGAAAATTTGCCGAATAAATCATATCTAAAATGTACAAAATATGATCAGTCTGTACTTGTGATCTATCACTCCATTCATATTTTTTGGATTTGCATATACAGGGTGATTCAAGAAAACAAATGAAAGCGTAAATTTATTTTACTGATTTACTCAGGAACTACAAAACCGAATGCTTCGAAATCTTGAAGATATTTTAAAATTATCATAAGCATGGTAAATTTTTGATCAAAACGCATTTGGTCGTCCCCCCTAAAAAATTTATGATGTCACCACAAAATTGTGCTGAAAAAATCCTATCTAAAATGTACAAAATATGGTGAGTCTCTTCTTGTGATTTATCATTCCATTCAAATTTTTTCGATTTGCATATACAGGGTGACTCAAAAAAATTAATGAATGCGTAAATTTATTTTATTGATTTAATCAGGAACTACAAAACCGAATGCTTTGAAATCTTGCAGATGTTTTAAGGTTATAAAGAGCATAATAAATTTTTAGTCAAAATATATTTGGTTATCTTCTACAAAAAACTGATGACGTCAGCTCAAAAGTTTGCCGAATAAATCGTGTCTAAAATGTACAAAATATGATGAGTCTGTACTTGTGATTTATCATTCCAATCATATTTTTGGATTTGCATATGCAGGGTGACTCAAAAAAATTAATGAAGGCGTGAATTTATTTTATCGATTTAATCAGGAATTAGAAAACCGAATGCTTTGAAATCTTGGGAATATTTTAAAGTTATTATAAGCATGGTAAACTTTTGTTCAAAATGTATTTGTTCATCCCTCCTAAAAAAATTGATGACGTCACCCTTAAATTTTGCTGAATAAATCCTATCTAAAATGCAAAAAATATGATGAGTTTGTACTTGTGATTTATCATTCCATTCATATTTTTTAGATTTTCTTAAGAGGTGGTTCAAAAAAAATTAATGAAGTCAATTTATTTTATTGATTAAATTAAAGGCAACACTTATTATTAGTATTACACCCCAACCAACCCAATTTGGTAGACACAAAATTTGTTAAAGGAAAAACTCGGTTGAAACATAAGGGTAGCACGCTTATTTACATCGACTTTAACATTATAGACCTGAATTTGTTCACTTAGTTCCGCGAATGTGAAATAGACATGTTTATAATCAACCAATTCTGAATTT